TAGAGAAATTAGATCGAAAAAAGAGAGCAACGAAATACAAAGAGAAACGAGAAATTAAAAAAAAACCAGCGACCTTCTGCTGATTTCTGTTTGCCTGGTATCTCCGATTTGAATTTAACGGTTTTCTGCCATTTGAGCGGTGGAAAGTGGAAGCAAAAAATGAGGGAAATTAGATCGAAAAAAGAGAGCAACGAAATACAAAGAGAAACGAGAAAAAAAGATAAATGAAAAAAACCCGTGACCATCTGCTGATTTCTGTGCGCCTGGTATCTCAGATTTGAAATTTATCGGCTTACTGCCATTTGAGCGGTGGAAAGTGGAGGCAGAAAATGAGAGAAATTAGATCGAAAAAAGAGAGCAACGAAATACAAAGGAAACAGAAAAACGTAATTAAGAAAACCAGCGACCTTCTGCTGATTTCGTTCGCCTGGTATCTCCGATTTGAATTTAACGGTTTTCTGCCATTTGAGCGGTGGAAGTGGAATCAAAAATGAGAGAAATTAGATCGAAAAAAGGAGCAACGAAATAGAAATGAAAAAGAAAAAGAAAGAAGAAAAAAAGAATAGAAAAGAGCAAAGAAAAACAAGAAAAAAAGAGAAATTAAAAAAGCCAGCCACCTTCTGCTGATTTCTGTTCGCCTGGTATCTCAGATTTGAATTTAACTGACACTAAATGAGCAATCCAAATATTCAAAAATGTCGGGATTTCCTAACCTCTAGATGTCTAGCGCACTGCTTGCGTGTTACTGACTTAATTCATAATAAATACGCCGTAAATGGTTACGGTGATATTTTTTAAAGAAATCCTTTATGTAAACTTTATATTTCTTCTACTACTTTTCTTATTTTTTGTGTGTTTATATTTATGTTTTTCAGCACAAACAGCTCTCTCTTTGGTGGTATCTCGAGGGGCAGTGGCACCTCCAAAATCGTACTGATAGCGCCTCTACCACTTTAAATGTATTATTTAATAGTAGACAATTTCCACTCAAATGTCGACTACATGCGATAGCATGTGCCTGAAAGCCTCAAAGTTTAAGTGAAAGTGTGAGTCTTATTTTTGATAAGTGGCAAGGAGTCACATTTTTCTAATCATATGGCAAGGAACATAAACATGCACTACCCCCACCCGACACACGAGTTCTGCTGTCACCAGCTTAAGTTCCTTTTATAGTCTTTTATGGACAAAACTTCTATCAGACTGTGTAAAATCAATTCCTAACAATTAACAATTAATTAACAATTAATCGCAACTGAGCATGAAACAGATGAAACCCTCATTAATTTCTATATTTTTAATTATATTAAAAGGAAATATTTACACTATATGTATAAGTTAATACATCTGCCTATATATATATATTTAGTCTGTAACATGATTCCATGGTTCTATCCACTAGCAGCATCCCCATCGTTTGCCTCCAGTTTAGTCTTGCTCTCCCTCTTCAATGGGGGTGCCGAAGCCGATTCTCTTCTTTCACTAGTTTGAATCGCTTCTGGAGCTGGAGTTTGCCTCTCAGCATCATTACCCAACTGATTAGCCTTTGGATCAGTTTCATCTAGAGGCACTTTGGGTGTAGGAGGTGCCCTGCGATTCGGCAAAATCAGACTACTCAGTCCGCCAAAAGGAGCTTCGACTAGAATATACATAACGTACGCAAGCAGCAGGGAGAATCCAAAGTCCTGCCAGAATCGCAGCATCTGAAGAAAAGCGTAAAATTCGTTTATGTTCAAAGGATTCCCAGCAAGAACTAGGCCAAGCAATTACCACATCGTAGTCGGAGAAGTAGGTGTTTACACGGGTGCGTCCAGCGTTCAGGTTCTGAATGAACAAGTGCCACATATAGACACAGTAGGACAGCTTGGATAGCGGCTGCCACAAGGGCGAGCAGAGAAACGAATTGGCCAATCCTCCGTATCCTTGCATGCAGGCAAAAACGACCCAGCTCAAGCCCAGGGGCCAAGCAATCCGTGACAGTGACACATAGAACGCTTCATTCAAAATGGGCAGAGCTTTGGAGTTGGTCCCGCTGTACGGATACATGGCAAAGATGCAGGTAAAGAGCAAGGCCAAGCTGGTCAGCCATCCGAGCCATACAATGGGGCTACTGTGCTTTATCGATTTTCCCCGGATAGTGTGCAGGTAGTACCCAAAAAGGAAGCCAACAAGCCATCCTGATGCTCGTAAGTGTGTGTTTTGAGAGAGACCTAGGTCCCATCCTGAAATTCTGAAGAGTATATGGATTAGATGCGAACGACTTGGTCACGATTTTGAGCACTTACAATGAGTTGTTTTTGATCACCATTATGCTGAAGAGGTAAGCGGCTAGCAAAAGGGTCAAAAGCAGGACAGCGGCGGCGCCTTTTGTTCCCCACTTGTAGACAACAATCAGGAGCAACGGAGCGATGATATAGAGCTGCATATCGATGGCCAAATACCATGTTTGAGCGAGGCACTTTATACAACACAAAAATACTGATTAGTTGAGGCGAATATATGAAATATTAACGACTTACGATCCGGTCAGCGGCATAGTTCTGTATGTAGAGAAGTGTCCAGTACCAATTTTTAATACAGCTATTATAGTAATCAAAGTTCCATGTGCCGAACAGTGGGCCATCGGCCATGAGAGGCAGAACTTTTAGATAGACGAGAATGGCCACAGCCACGATAGGAGTGAGTCGTAGATAGCGATGAAGGTACATCAGCGGAATGTTCAGTTTTCCCTTGGCTCTGCAATGAAACCATTGTTAAGATTCATATAAAAAAGGGTAATATCGAACCTACTTCTCCATTGAACGCAAGGCGACCATTGAGACCAGCATGCCGCTTATAAAGAAAAAAGTATCCACCGCGAAAACGCCCTCATATATTACCACCATGAAAGGTGACTTGGCCCACTGAAAATTGGTGCGAAAAGAGTTGGCCACTTGAGCAATATGAACTATTTAGAAGTGCTTACCTTATACACATCCAGAAAATTGATATTAGGCGATGTTATTCCTATTAAGTAATCATGACCAAAACACACCCAGATCAGGGACATGCCACGCATACCGTGCAGGCAATGGACAACATTGGGGTTGGAATTATTGGAGATACGGAAGAGTCCTCTGGAATTGTAGCGTGCTGAGAATACCCTCAAAATGGCAGGGAGTTTCTCTGCAATAAACATCCTAGAGAATGTCCATAAGACACCATTGAACTGATCGACGTACCTTGATCCTCGCAAAGGAAGTAGTCGTAGAGCGTGGAAAGGACTACGGCTGCACCGAGTACCGACAAAAAAGCACTGAAAGGGGATAGAGAACAATTAACTTCGATTAAGGAGTAAAATCACTTAATTTACATGGTAAAAATGGTGAGTCCATCGTAGGGCTCTCGCTCAGCCGTCTTGCAGGTTCTTTCCTTGACAAAAGTAAGGTCTGCGCTCAGCTCCACTCCAAGTAGTTGCTTAAGGAGTCGTAGCAGCAGCGTGTCCATGTTCGCGGCCGAGCAGGAGGCGGGAAAGCAGACAGCTGTCTGTACATTCATCGGTAACTGCAGCGGTAACTGGGCAAGGCAGTACTTTCCCATCAGATTGTAGTTGGAGGTGATGGCCTGCTCGATGTTAACGCACTCGTCGTAGTGCCCCAGATCCCTGTAATGACCAACTAGAATTCCCGCTGGCAGCGATCCCCACGAGTCAAACACTGTGGAATGAATACATCGATTAGTTAGCCATATACTCCCAAGGGATCAGTTGGAGATCAGTCGTCAACTCACTTCTATATGCCCAAAGGCTGCCGTTAACCAAAGCGGCGGTCAGGTGAGCAAATTCCGCATAGCATTGAAGATCCTGCTGCGTAGGCAGCCGTGATTCGGGCACCAAATCAGACAGAGTTATATTCTGATAGAAGCTCCGGAACTCCTCCGACAAGTGGCGAAGCTTGGCCATGCGCTGGAATTCCTCCACATCCATTTCCATACCCTTGTGTAGCTCCACATCCCAGTTGCTGGCCGTGGCCACGGCCAAGCCAAAAATAAACAGCAGGAGTGTAATTCTAACCATATCTCCCAACGTCTGACTAGCGAATAATTTGAGTCAAGACCACCCCGACCCTTTTTATAACCGATCGATGGAAAATAGGCTGAGATGTCTGACTCTGGCCGGTGATAAGGATTCCTAATAATTCCTAATAATTCCTAATTCCTAGTACGATCGGATTTTTATATCAGATTTCTTAAACTTCAATCAACACACAAAAGTGGGCTTATATTTACTTTTTACAGCACAATCAGTTATTTCTCTCTTTGGTGGTATCTCGAGGGGCAGTGGCACCTCCAAAATCGTACTGATAGCGCCTCTACCACTTTAAATGTATTATTTAATAGAAGAAAATAGTCTTTCCACTCAAATGAAGACTACATGCGATAGCATGTGCCTGAAAGCCTCAAAGTTTAAGTGAAACACATATGAACCAGCTCGGTCATGTGAGTCTTATTTTTGATAAGTGGCAAGGAGTCACATTTTTCTAATCATATGGCAAGGAACATAAACATGCACTACCCCCACCCGACACACGAGTTCTGCTGTCACCAGCTTAAGTTCCTTTTATAGTCTTTTATGGACAAAACTTCTATCAGACTGTGTAAAATCAATTTCCTAACAATTAAATTATTATAGTCTGTCAATCGACAGACCGTGATCGCACCTGAGCATGAAACAGATGAAACCCTCATTAATTTCTATATGGGGGGGCCCCCCCCCCCCGCCCCCCCCGCGCCCCCCCCACGCAACCAGGCACCGCCCCAGCCCCCCCCCCCCCCCCCCACGGCGAAAGCACGGCCCCCCCCCCCCCCCCCCCCCCCCCCCCCCCCCGCCCGCCCCCCCGGGCGACCAACCTATAATATTTATAAATTCTGCTGTGGGGCCCCCCTCGCCCCGTTTTAATTATATTAAAAGGAAATATTTACACTATATGTATAAGTTAATACATCTGCCTATATATATGTATATATTTAGTCTGTAACATGATTCCATGGTTCTATCCACTAGCAGCATCCCCATCGTTTGCCTCCAGTTTAGTCTTGCTCTCCCTCTTCAATGGGGGTGCCGAAGCCGATTCTCTTCTTTCACTAGTTTGAATCGCTTCTGGAGCTGGAGTTTGCCTCTCAGCATCATTACCCAACTGATTAGCCTTTGGATCAGTTTCATCTAGAGGCACTTTGGGTGTAGGAGGGGCCCTGCGATTCGGCAGAATCAGACTACTCAGTCCCCCAAAAGGAGCTTCGACTAGAATATACATAACGTACGCAAGCAGCAGGGAGAATCCAAAGTCCTGCCAGAATCGCAGCATCTGAAGAAAAGCGTTAAATTCGTTTATGTTCAAAGGATTCCCAGCAAGAACTAGGCCAAGCACTTACCACATCGTAGTCGGAGAAGTAGGTGCTTACACGGGTGCGTCCAGCGTTCAGGTTCTGAATGAACAAGTGCCACATATAGACACAGTAGGACAGCTTGGATAGCGGCTGCCACAAGGGCGAGGAGAGGAACGAATTGGCCAATCCTCCGTATCCTTGCATGCAGGCAAAAACGACCCAGCTCAAGCCCAGGGGCCAAGCAATCCGTGACAGTGACACATAGAACGCTTCATTCAAAATGGGCAGAGCTTTGGAATTGGCCCCGCTGTACGGATACATGGCAAAGATGCAGGTAAAGAGCAAGGCCAAGCTGGTCAGCCATCCGAGCCATACAATGGGGCTACTGTGCTTGATCGATTTTCCCCGGATAGTGTGCAGGTAGTACCCAAAGAGGAAGCCAACAAGCCATCCTGATGCTCGTAAGTGTGTGTTTTGAGAGAGATCTATGTCCCCTCCTGAAATTCTGAAGAGTATATGGATTAGATGCGAACGACTTGGTCACGATTTTGAGCACTTACAAGGAGTTGTTCTTGATCACCATTATGCTGAAGAGGTAAGCGGCTAGCAAAAGGGTCAAAAGCATGACAGCGGCGGCGCCTTTTGTTCCCCACTTGTAGACAACAATCAGGAGCAACGGAGCGATGATATAGAGCTGCATATCGATGGCCAAATACCATGTTTGAGCGAGGCACTTTATACACAACAAAAATACTGATTAGTTGAGGTGAATATATGAAATATTAACGACTTACGATCCGGTCAGCGGCATAGTTCTGTATGTAGAGAAGTGTCCAGTACCAATTTTCATTACAGCTATCATAGTTATCAAAGTTCCAGTTGCCGAACAGTGGGCCATCGGCCATGAGAGGCAGAACTTTTAGATAGACGAGAATGGCCACAGCCACGATAGGAGTGAGTCGTAGATAGCGATGAAGGTACATCAGCGGAATGTTCAGTTTTCCCTTGGCTCTGCAATGAAACCATTGTTAAGATTCATATAAAAAAAGGGTAATATCGAACCTACTTCTCCATTGAACGCAAGGCGACCATTGAGACCAGCATGCCGCTTATAAAGAAAAAAGTATCCACCGCGAAAACGCCCTCATATATTACCACCATGAAAGGTGACTTGGCCCACTGAAAATTGGTGCGAAAAGAGTTGGCCACTTGAGCAATATGAACTATTTAGAAGTGCTGACCTTATACACATCCAGAAAATTGATATTAGGCGATGTTATTCCTATTAAGTAATCATGACCAAAACACACCCAGATCAGGGACATGCCACGCATACCGTGCAGGCAATGGACAACATTGGGGTTGGAATTATTGGAGATACGGAAGAGTCCTCTGGAGTTGTAGCGTGCTGAGAATACCCTCAAAATGGCAGGGAGTTTCTCTGCAATAAACATCGTAGAGAATGTCCATAAGACACCATTGAACTGATCGACGTACCTTGATCCTCGCAAAGAAAGTAGTCGTAGAGTGTGGAAAGGACTACGGCTGCACCGAGTACCGACAAAAAAGCACTGAAAGGGGATAGAGAACAATTAACTTCGATTAAGGAGTAAAATCACTTAATTTACATGGTAAAAACGGTGAGCCCATCGTAGGGCTCTCGCTCAGCCGTCTTGCAGGTTCTTTCCTTGACAAAAGTAAGGTCTGCGCTCAGCTCCACTCCAAGTAGTTGCTTAAGGAGTCGTAGCAGCAGCGTGTCCATGTTCGCGGCCGAGCAGGAGGCGGGAAAGCAGACAGCTGTCTGTACATTCATCGGTAACTGCAGCGGTAACTGGGCAAGGCAGTACTTTCCCATCAGATTGTAGTTGGAGGTGATGGCCTGCTCGATGTTAACGCACTCGTCGTAGTGCCCCAGATCCTTGAAATGACCAACTAGAATTCCCGCTGGCAGCGATCCCCACGAGTCAAACACTGTGGAATGAATACATCGATTACTTAGCCATATACTCCCGAGGGATCAGTTGGAGATCAGTCGTCAACTCACTTCTATATGCCCAAAGGCTGCCGTTAACCAAAGCGGCGGTCAGGTGAGCAAATTCCGCATAGCATTGAAGATCCTGCTGCGTAGGCAGCCGTGATTCGGGCACCAAATCAGACAGAGTTATATTCTGATAGAAGCTCCGGAACTCCTCCGACAAGTGGCGAAGCTTGGCCATGCGCTGGAATTCCTCCACATCCATTTCCATACCCTTGTGTAGCTCCACATCCCAGTTGCTGGCCTTGGCCACGGCCAAGCCAAAAATAAACAGCAGGAGTGTAATTCTAACCATATCTCCCAACGTCTGACTAGCGAATAATTTGAGTCAAGACCACCCCGACCCTTTTTATAACCGATCGATGGAAAATAGGCTGAGATGTCTGACTGTGGCCGGTGATAAGGATTCCTAATATATGATTGGCCCAGTACAGGGTTTCGCATCGCGGACATGACTGTGCAATCTAACCGAATTTCCAGTATTCCAAATAAATTCCTAGTAATTCAAATCATTTATGCATATGTAAGTACGATCGGACTCTTCTCGTCTAGTGTTTTGTTTGGGCTTTTGCGATTGTACTTGACTATCTTATCGTGAACATGCATATTCAGGTCCGGATTAACCCTTAGGCAGAAAAGCCAGTTGCATAGGGCCCCCGATTCAAGGGGGACCCTGAATCAAATGCTAACATAACAAATTTTTTAAAAAACAAAATTCCAAATAATGAATAACAAATATATTAGACACTTAAAGTGAACAAAAAAAAAATACAAAATAATCAAACAAAGAAAAAAATGTATACGTTTTTATTTTAAATGATGGTTGGCAGAGTAGAGGGTTAATCCTGCCCTGTGCATATTTAAGGCCTCCTGGCATACAGTATAATCAATGGTTCATCAGAAATCCACTCCCGCACTTTCTGATTTGGATGAATAATAAATAAATAATTTACGATTAACGTTTGGGAAATACCACAGCAACAGTAAATAGTCCAAGAGTCCGAATTAGTAAGTCGGAATCGCCAAAGAAGGGTTGGGGTTTGGCCCAAGGCAATCAGGTGGAAAAAAAGTTAGAATCTTTTCTTATCTAATACTCGTAGTTTCATATGGCATGTGTCTGGTGCCTTTCATTCAAATTAGGGGCGAGTATTGATTGGTTTCAGGTGCTAGTAGCTGTTACTTCTGGATTTAGTTTGATTTAGATTTTTAATTACTTCATTAGCATTTTGCGACATTTGCATAGAACCTAATACTAGTAGTCGGCTGCGTTGGCACGTTTCGTCTCTACAACCACGCCCAACTTTTTATATATGGTTATATATGGTTGCAGACTCGTGTGCCAACTGGCTGAAACCCGCTGAGGATAGTTTATGGGATCATATTTTTCAATTAGAAGTGCCACTACAGACAGGTGGTACAATCGTTAGTCAGCCTGTCACTTCCGTAAGATTCTTGCATGCAATTATTCAAGCTGAGGATTGTCTGACGATTGGCTATGATCTTGATATGCCTGTTTACGAAAAAGTGTCACTGTCATTCATTGCCATGTCCGCGCCATAAGCGAAACTAATCAAAACGTTTCTATGGACGCGACTCTACTTTTATACCCGTACTCAGTCAGTATATGAATTTGTGAGCTTATGATTTATGAAGAATTTTAAGATATTTTTCATTTAACATTTTTTTTTTCTACAACTGTTATCTACATCTACAAAGTACACATATAAAATTTAAGTTATACATACACAATGTAGATTCTACATCTTCTTCACAAATGTCGCGCATTGCACAAGGCAGAGTGTGTGCGAGCGAGAAAGACAATGAAATTAGTTTGCTCTAGCTCTTATAGTCTCTAAGATCTAGGCGCTCATCAAGACGGACAGGCGGAGAGACAGACAGAGACTCGGCTATTGACGATGATCAAGAATATATATACTTTATGGGGTCGGAAACGTTTCCTTACCACAAATCTAATATACCCCTTAACTCTTTTTGAGTAATGGTACAAAAAGGCGAAATCATAGAACACAACAAAGACAACGAAATCGAAATCGCACAGCCAAATATGAAAACAATTAACAATGGGGCGCCGTCGATATGACATTCGTGTTTGATTCGACAAATACCCGATCCGATCCGCTCGCCGGCAGCAGCTGTTAACAGTAAATCTTCCCGCGTCAACTTGTTCAGGGAAATACTTGTCGGGTCGGAAACAAGTTCGATTGCCCAGAGCAGGCAAGTCACAAGCGTGCCTCAGAAATTACACTTTGATCAAAACAGCAGAAAACGAATGGAATCCGAACAGCAGAGGCAGTTGCGTAGAATTATCAAACCCACTTGGCAGATGCGTCATGCTTTCTCTTTGGGGAAGTCCGGATATTGGCGACCGACTAGCCGGCTCCAAAGATGCCTCCTCACCGCTGCTGACGTTGCGCTCTGGAAACGTGACTTAGGTGTGAAACAATCCGATCCGAACCGCACAGAGCTGAGCTGTGCTGTTCTGATCCGAGGTGAGAGATCTCAATCTTTGCATTAGCATAGACACCTATGTATGTATGTACATACGGACAAATGAGGGGAGGAGTGTGTTGGTAGTTCCAGTTCTTGATTGATTGGGCGCACCCAGCTCCGACAATTAGCTCGTGTCTACTCAAATCAATTAGATTTCGATAGTTTGATAATGAACCGTTCTTTCAGATCATTTTTTTAAGCAGCAATCCAAGAAATCCGGCTATATATGTTAATGCCATAACTTTTTCGGCAGGAATGATTCATTAAGTTAAAAACAAAATCACATGAAATGCAAGCACATTTATTCGTAATGCGCATGACCCAAATCTCGTGGGGGAATCCTTTGTATCGCACAGCCCAAACATCCCCTAAGATGATATTATGATGTGTATGCTGAACACGATCTTCCATTGCTTTACTGAAACAATCGACGGAAGGAAGTACATACTACGATTGTTTAATCGTGCGTTTTAAAGCCTGCACTGCTTACAATTTCGCAGAAAATTCAGCGATTTTTATGGGCAATCAACGACGAATACCAGTATGTTTGAGCTTGTTTAAGTGCCGCCAATTATTTTGTTAAATCGACTTATTATAATGCCGTAATTAATGTTTAAGTCTCCATGCTGTGACTTAATTAATACGACTATAAATGTACACACATGTAAATGTGTCTACGGTGCAGTAAAACCAACGCCGAGAATGATATACAACCAATTAATTGGTCCAGTTAGCCATATGTATATTAAATATAAAATTATAACAGATTTGCATCGGCAGAATTATATTAATCAATATCAATTTGGTTCTTTGGATGCATTTGAATTCATAAATTATAATTGATAACCTATGGCATTTGCAATTCAACACAGCTGTCACAGCTGTACTCCTACTCATATCGAAATACAATGGGATACATTATTATTCTTGCTACACAATGTTCGATAATAATGATAATGATGATGGTGGCAATCAACAAGTCCAGGTCCCAGCCCGCAGCCCTTTATTTGTGATCGGTTGACTTGGTTTCTTGCACAGCACTCCCAATAATTATTAATAAAATATGCAATTAATGAAGTAAAATATTGCTCTTTAATTTCCGTATTCAACTTTGTCGTCATATCAATCAAACAAATCTGAACCACAGCTTAGCCTTGTCCGATGCACTTTAAAAACATCTAACAATTAGGAGCAGATTCAGATTCACATTCCAACATAAAAAACAGTTATTAATTTTTTTTATTGAGCATTGATTGTTCTAAAATGTAAGTGTAATGCTATAACTGCAAAATTTCACACCAACTCCATGATGGGAATAAATCATGACTGTTGGAATATGTTAGCATTCTAAAAATGGAATAAACTAAAAGTCAGTGGCGTCCCTCTCACATATGTAGTATGTATGAGTCTGACAAGTACAGCATCGATCTACAAATTGCACAAGACGCGATATACCAAAGCAGTTCTGTACTGCGGCGTGGGTAATTGAAAATCGATTATTTAATTGCGTTTTTACTTTCGCACGATTTAAAATTCTGAAACAATCACACATGAATGTTGGGCCATAAACCGCAGTCTGTCTTGGCCGGAGAGCGACGAGACTCAAGCATGGTCAGTCATAAATTCGACTTTTTTTTAACTTACAACTTACAAACCTTCACAGTCAAGTTCAAATGCATAATTAAGCTGGAAAGGCAGCGTTTAGTTTAGAATAGTAAAAATTTGATAACTGTAAGGCTGAAGGACAAATCGATTTGAATACGTAGAGAGAGATAAATCACTTTCTAGTTTGCTGATACTCGTATCAATGCTATGCTCACTTTCCCACTACCACCACCTTCAACCTGTGTGTCATAGAAATTTAGTTCGATTCCAAACTGCCTAGGGATTTCCAGGCGTGTCAACTAAGCAGAAAAACTTTTTATTGAGAACCGATCAAGCTATGACTGCTCCCGGGGGGGCTGGTCCACATGTCCACGTGTCTGTGAGTTTTGCCTGCCAATTAGCGTGTGTGCGACGGAGACTGCCAGGAATTCCATTTCATTTCCTACGTCATAGAGCGCTGGCCCAGAGCTAAACTAAAAATCCACATATGTATGTACATATGTATGCTGCGAGCGGTAATTGCAGCAGCCCATGTAAGAGCAGGAACTGGTTTGGTTTTTTTTTCTGTCACTCGGTTCTCGTTACCCGTACCGCCATTCTTCATCGAGCGCCGACGACGCTTCGCTTCGCTGCGACTGCGCCGCTGGCCGCGACTGAGTTTGAGGCTGCGGTTGGGGATCGGATATAAAAGTTAGGCGGGTGCTGGGATTCTGATTAGTCTGCGAGCGCCGTTTACAAGTACATAGTACGAGAATTTTTGGGTGTGCGTTACAAGTTTTTTTGGCTGCCAAGCAAAATCAAAGTGAAACGCAAATGAAGTGACCCCCAAAGATATTAAGCAACCAAACAAGAATCAGAAAAGGATTTTCAAATAACAGATAAACGTGCTTAGTGTCAAACGGCAGCAGACAAAGACTTAAAAACAAACAAAAAATTATAACAGTTCGATAAATCCAGTGAAAGTAATTTTACCAATACACACAGTACGTATACGTGATAATTTCATATATTTTTAAGACTATAATATTTTGTTAAGCTTATATAAAAACGATTCTGCGTTCATGCTTACAAACTATTAACTAAATAAGTCCCTGAAAATTTAATGATCAAAGTGAATTACAAAATTAAACAATTTCCGATAGAAAAATTCATCAGGCAAAAAATATTAATGCTAGAAATAATTAAAAAATAAAATTGCAATTAGTTAATTGACAAAATAATTGATTGAAGAAAATAGTTTTCCCTTTTCTGTAGCCATAAAGAACTCATTTAGCTTTAAGTTTATAGATTTTCTTTGAGGTAGGTAACAGCGAAAAACGGGCGAGACCTTACTCGGCTGTTGCCCTTACAAAATTGCAAAAATTCTCACTCTCTGTTCTGTTATTGACAGTAAGCACTTGAATGAATCTGATTATTGAGCTTATATTTTCATTAAATTTAACTAACTCCCGCGTATCATACTTGCTCTGGATGTTTAAATGGAGAGTGAGAGAGAGAGAGAGAGAGAGAGTGCGACAACCCAAAAATA